CCCCGAGTTAGTTTTTGGATAATTAAAGGTACCCTAGAATATATTTTTTTAAAAGATGGGACCTAAGAGTTTTTATCACAAAACTGAGACTCCCGGTAGCAATTTTCTATATTTTTTCACCACTTTTTTCCTTAAACTTTCATATGCAATGTGATCAAATAAAGCCCACCAAAAGATTGAAATATACTAAGAATATAACACAATGATCTTCCCTGTAATATTTCATAACAATCGGAAACTAATTCAAGCTTTTTCAAATGACTTCTAAAAGCAATGCATTTAAACCACGTAAGATATGAAGCATTAAATGAAGCAGAACATACTATTTATTGTCAAACATTTGAAGATGATGAATGTGTTTGTATCTATCAACCGTTCTTTGGGTGTTGTATGACGGTATGAGCACATTCCATATTAAAGTAATAGTGCGAAGTAAGAACAATGTCACATAAAAATGGTGTCAAATTATCCTATCTCATAATCATACCAATTCTCTCTCTTCCAATTAAATTTCAACCACATGGACCAACTTTTTTCTATTTTCTAACCTTTTTCCTACCACAAAACTTTGACTTGAGCATTTTTTTTAAATCTATGAAAACACATAAATAATGAAATGAGTCTAATGATGTTAATATACCACACCATTATGGCCCCACCATGTTTTGTTGGGCTCGGAGCCTGGGGAATGGCTTTAGGGTTGTAGTGTAGTGTTGATGGTCACTTAGGGAGAAGGAATAATTCTGAAACGATATTGTGAATCGGGGGATTGATGTCAACCAGGGGGGTTGGGTATTTGTGGGATGGTGATATTCCCACTAGCATGCTTTGGAGGGTAGACCTCACCCCTATTTGAAAATAGTGATTCATGTGTGTGTGTGTCACAATAATCTTTACACTTTTCTTTATTGTCCATTTCAAAATAAACTTCATACATCACCTTTTACGTTTTGAGAAAAAATATGTTGCCTAAATATTTCTCTCATAAACAAATTTCAACCATTGATTATTACCTATTCAATGATGTTTCTAAACTCCTTGAAGTCAAACTATCAAACTAACGTTTGAGAGAGAGAGAGTGAGACAAAACTTTGAAGAGCAAGAAATTGTGTTCGTTTCCACAAACATAAAGTAATGAAATTGTAGGTGTCATTCAAGGCTATGAAGAGAGGAGTAAAGACAAAAAAATATTGAAAAAATAGAGAACTATCAAATTTTTATGTGTTTAGAACAGCAATGGGCAGAGACATCTGGCAGGCATACAATTCAAATTACAAAACGAAAAAAAAGAGAAAAAAAGGCCCATACAAAGTGAAGTGAAAGTCTTTGAAATAAAATAAATTAACACCATTTACAGACGAGAGGCTGATGAATAAAGTAACTAGCACACAAAATTTTAACAACAAAAGAAATTATCTAACTTTTATCTGCCTCTCATCTAGGCTTCTTTGTTTCTCTCTTTTTTTACTTTCTTTTTTTTTGAAACTGTGTGCCTAGTTTCTGTTTAAAATTGACTAATAAGTTGTCCCTGTATATGCACAGATATGATGCATGTTGGAAATGCGTACCCTTTGTAGCCGCATTGGGCTCAAGAAACAATTTCCTCCTTTTGGAAAATGAACCCTGGGTCTCATCCACATTCAGCTCCTGGGATAAAAGTGTTTGCTCGGGGGAGTCAGGGGGTAGATCCAGGAATAAACTTCCCTGCAATAAGTAAAAGATGGAGAATGATGAGGAATAACATGACATCCAATAATTTACCCAATATAGAAGGATGTGGGTGGATAAGTTTTGAAGAAACATAAACCCACCAACAATGAAATCACTGATAGTTGAAAGAAAATGGAAAATTCATAAATCAAAGGACAGTGAGAGAGTATATGAAACAGTCCATTTAAGGGGGCGACTCCAGACTACACATCTGGGACGATTTGTATTACTCAAAACTGGCTACTAGGAATAACAATTCATACCTCCGATTGGGATCGGCGAAGGTGTTTCTTAAAAGCTCCCTTCAGCACTGGTTGCGCTGCCTCCATATCTCTTCACTTCAGGAATCCAATTTTACAGACGCCAACGCCAGCCTTCGGATCGTGCCCTAATTATACTTGCAAGACAACCCGACCTAAACTGAAATTTTCTCAAAACTTGTGGGCTTCCAGCGACACTAGTGGGCTTCTTTTCTCAAAACCTCGCCATAATTGTCTTTCTTTTATCACTTGTGGGCTTTGACACTAGTGATGCCACTGTTATTTTAAAACACTTCTGGTACTTTGTTTTTTAAATTGATAAGTCTTATCTCTCTTAATCTCAACCCTGCCTTACGCCTCCCACAAATGTGTGGTTATTATGATTTCATAATAACCACACATTTTGTGGGGGATTTATGGCGAGGTCGGGATGGGGGTGCATGAGCGAGGGTAGGATGAGGGGTTTGGGGATGAGTTAGGTGGTAAGAATCGTCAATTTACATATGGAGCACCGGAAGTATCCTAAAATGACAATGACACTGGAGTGTCACCACATTTCGGTGTCACTAGAACCCCATCGTTTTATCACTCATGTGTGTTGCACGTTTCATATTTTCGTTACTAAATTAAGATCATTTTCAATGCTAGAAAGTGATATCTAATAGACATTATATTATTTTAAGGTACAAAACATTTTTGCTTTGCAAAATTTAAAAGAGTTCTTTATAAATAACATTATTCGTACAATTTGTGGGGGCATTATCTTCGTTGCATATCAGAATCTTCAACCTACTACGATTTGTTACTTTTGAAACTGTAACATATGGTTGTCTATGATTAAATATCAGTTTCCGTAACAATAATAATCTAACATGTTTCAGTGATTACCCTCTCACTCTTGTTAACCGTTATGACATACAAAATAACCACATATACTTACAAAAGAAATTAATTGAAAATGCACTCGAAAGAAACTAATTACAAAAGTATTAACGAATGATTGATTTTATACAATGATTTTTTTGCTTATTCTATTTACCTTTTTCAGAATTTTAATTTTTTGAAATTACAATGTAAATTGACTTTTAGGTCACTCCCCATATAAGGGTCATATCTTAGGGTCTGTTTGGATGTACTCTAATGCAGCTTATTGAATGGGTGAACAATGATAAAAAGTAATACAGTTTTTTTCTTTTGGTGAATAAAATGGTGTAGGAGTACACCACACAATAATAAATGTAAATAAAAGAATTAGAGAGTGGATAAATATCGAATGACCAGGATATATAATGTACAAATGAGATATATTCAGCATGAGTCTAGTATAAATATTAAGAGAACGATAATTTTAATTTAGATATTATTCTTAAGAATAATATATCCTTTCAGAAGTGGCTTAGATATTGTTTTTGAGAATAATGTATCCTTTCAGGAGTGTCTTTTAACTTATTTTATTCAAAAACTGTCCAAGTTCATAAAGTTGCAATTTTCATGTTATTCCCTCTTGCGAAAGTAAAGGTGAAAATTTGACTTTTACATTCATACTCTGGATTTCATTAAACTTGGTATAGGTTGTTTTTTACAATATAAAAAATGTAACATTTGAAATATTATATCAATATAAACTTATCAAAAGTAATTTTATATTATACGGAGTAAAATTTTATAGGGTAAGATTATAAAAATTTAATGTCAAATGTAAATACTGCATAAAGTTTACTCCGTAATGGCAAAAGTTAAATTATCACATTTATTTTGGAGTTTGGACTAAAGAAGTATTTCCCTAAAAGAGTCCCAAAAAGATTCAGTATGATAAATCATACTCTCTCCATTTCATAAAACAGTTTTTATTTTGACTTTTATGCAGAGAATGATGATAGTAAGATTAATTACACCAAATTTTTTAAATGTGAAAGGATTGAATTGCACTTTACTTGAGAATGATCACAACCTTATTTTAAAATGAAGACCACTTTGTCTTAGAATGAACACTACATTATTCATAAATAAATATAATACTCCGTAGTAATTATATTGAACAAACGTATGAAAATGAGTAATTCGTTATTTCAAAATAAGTACCACGTTATTTTAAAATAAGTACTGCGTTATTTCAAATGAACACTTATGTTTGTGCGAGAATTATATCTTACTTCAAAATGAATACTATTCGGTTATACCTTATTTCTAGTACAGCCGGCTGTACCATATTTACTCTCCAAAAATAGAGGCGGTTTCCAAAAGACCTTCATAGGCTCAAATACAAAAACATAGACAAAAAACACAGTAGCACGAATAAAGTAAGAACACAAAAACAAGAATGGTGGGGGTGAATGGTGTAAATGAAAAGTGGAGTGTAATGGTATATTCATTAAAAAAAGGAAAGTGCAACTGGTTACACAACAAGTGTTGGCAATCATAGTAGGAGACTATCAGCTTCTAGCCGAACGTGTTGCAAATAAGAGAATATGATGTCCGTATGGGATCCAAAATGCCGTGAAAAAATATCTGATGCTCTCTTTATAGTGATGGCAGCATTGCAGTCGCCAAGTTGCATTTGAATGGTTCCAAGTTTAACCAATTCGTAGCCGATAACAATGTGATTCGGATCATAGAGTTTCTCAAGGATCTGAGATTGACATTCAAATTCCAATGAGAATTTATAATAATGCGGTAAAAGTGTGTGGCGTATTCATAGAGCGCATAGCCAAAACTCACGAGGTAATTAGACATTCTATTTTTGATAACACGCCCATCCGTCAAAACAAGTATTACATATTAGGTTTTGGAGTTCAATGGTAAAAGGTCAATTTGTGTCATGGCCTTGGAGTTCAACTTGTGTTGATTCTATTGGGTTTGTTGTTTAATTCAATGGTAAAAAGGTCAATCTAATAAGAATAGCTCAAAGGTAATTGATGATTTTAGATTAACATGCTCCATTGACATAATAAAACATAAGGTTTCATCATAAAAAGTAGGCATAATAAAAGCTTAACCCAACGCCCTATATATCGACTTAGTTTAATTAATTTTTTTTTTTTTATCAATGTGGGATGACTTAATTTTAGCATAGCAATTTCCTAGTCCTGATAACCTCACCTGACTGGGAATTTCCATTTTCCCATTACATTTTTAAAATGAAAAGAATGGAAAGTTTGTACCTTGATGGAAACTATACAATGATCAACTGCAGCTCGTAGATCCCCAACCAAGCACATTGCCTGTGCGATATTATCTTCAACCTGAAACAATGAATCACATGTACAACAACTCACTCAGAAAAACCCCACATGGGACAATGAATCACAAGTATTACAGCTTATACGGAGTAGATAAAAGTAATGAAGTTCTCTCATCAGAACACTAACAGAAAAAGACTACTTTTTCATGTGTAAAAGCTGCTTTTGGAGTTGTAAAATGGTAGAGAAAAGAAAGATAAATGCCGAAGATAAAAAATCATTTGTTTCACCTTGAATAATACAAAGAATATTGAATTTAATTAAAAGCATACATATGTTTAGATTTCTTAATCTTTTTATAACATAAATATATCAACAAAATGAATTTGAGTGAAAATCTTAATTTGATTTATTGGGTTTAAGACAATCTTTTAACTTGTATTTCCCTTTTAAATTTCTTATTTCACAGCTATTTTTCTCCATATTTTCTTTCTCTCTTTGACATTTTCGGAATTCCAAACAAATCCTAAGACTTATAGATGACAGTAAATCAACTTTGCTTTTTAAAATTTGATAGCCATTAAGGAGATGTGAGTCATTCACCTCTGCAATTCTCTTATTGCATGGATGCAATGCTGATCTCAGAAGATTTGAAACCTTCAAAGCATTGGAAAGTACTTCAGCAGGAACATTAGAGGAACTTAATGCATCTTGCAGCCTATATATAGGGCAAACATACTTATGAGTCATTTCCATATATATAAATAAAGGCATGAGAAAGTGTATTGTACCGCCTGAGACAACTCTGGGCTTTGCTGATTGCAGCAGAAGCAGCTTCTAGATCACAATAAGAGCCACAATTCAAGCAATGATGAGGATTAAGATGATAATCTGGTTTATGAACCGTATATTTTGCCGCACCAATAATTCCATCATGTCCACCGTTTTTGACCTTCACATGCCAAGAGAATAGCTATGAATACGTGATGAGTGATGACAATAACAAAGACAAGAAGAACAAGATACTGAAAATAAGCAAATGTAAAATGTACTTATGTACGTACTCATCAACATAAGTTTAAAGTGAAACCTTTATTATCACCATCACGAGGGCAGCCAGGCCAGATTGTCACCAAATGGTTTTAAGGCTAAAAAATGTTGCCAATCACCAATGACTTTCGGCTATATAGAAAAAATTCCATTTTTGGTCTCATGACTATTATGTCATTCCCACTTTTGGTATAGACTTTTACGACACACCGGTGGATGTGTTTAGGTTAGAGTCTTAGAAGAAGCCTCTAGAAACTCAAGGTTAACCAACATCATGCCCTTATAGTGGGACCCTTCCCTGAGCCCTCACTCAACGAAGATATTTACTGAGCTGCCCGTTTACGCTGAGTGCAAGACCTTAAATTTCATGTCACTTTTGGTCCTTACCGAGTTTCAGGTCACTTATACAAAAAAGCCAAGCAGAAATTGTACAAAAATCAGTTGGATAAGTGACTAGGATGACCAAAAGCGCCAAGAAATCCGTAGTCCTACACTAACAGCGGAGAAACGAAAGTGAGAAACCAAAAGTAGATGGTAGTATGGTAAGGTTGGTACCTAGCATTCGTGTGACCAACAGAAGAAAAGTTTACACCATTTTTGGATATTTATCCTCCATATTTTAGCCATATAAAAAGTACCTGCTTCTGAGTGTAGGGAATGCTCAGGACACGAGAGATGGGGTCCACTTTTTGTTTCACATAGTTAGCAAGTGTGCAGTCAAGGACCACGCCTTCACAATCTTGTTTAGAACACTTGTAAGCATTAATACTGAGGTCAGATAGATTTAGTTTCGAACAGCCTCTACATTGACAGTCAAATGAGTAATGTTCTCTCAAGATCTTCTGGCGGTCTTTGTAGTCCCACTGCCCTACCTTCAAACCAGCACGTTTGGGAAAAAGAATAATAGTCATACGAGAAAGTTTAATAACCAACGACAAAGACAGATAGTCACATCATGATTAAACTAGGAAAACAGAACACTTTCTGTAATCTTTTTCTAAAATTTCTTGAGCCCTACAAGAAATAAATAATGTTGCACCATTGATCTGGTTGTGAGAAGTCCATTTTCAGGTTACTAATCACCAATGGCCTATCAGAGCTTGGGTAGTAGCATATTAGGAATTATGAATTGTACTTAAACATTTTAATGTCTATAGACACATGCTTCGAAAACATTAAAAAGTGAGTTAATAATGCAAAATCTGAGTAATCCCAATATTTAGGCTCTATTTGTTTCCAAAAATATTATTTCCATGGAACTGTTTTCAAAGAAAATGTTCTGAACTTCGTAAATATTTGACTTAATAAAAATGGGATATTAAACTTCTTACTTTTTATGAAGTTTTGGGGAGTAGGCGCAGCAATGCATTAAGTGTAATGGAAGCCTCTATGTGTGCATCTTGAACCCCGAGACCACAATTGAGTTTAGATAGATTATACTGGATTGTTGTTGTTCTGGTCGTCATGCTTTCCTTTAAAACAAGTACACAATTTTCTATGTATAATATGATGTTCAGCCAGCAAGAGAAACACAAAACAATTTCAAGATTAAGACCACCTGTTTTCAAAATGGGAATTTGTGTTCCACAAAGTCAAGCTATGTTTGGAAAGAGGGAAGGAAAATAGTTTTTTTATACAGTACCTTGGAAACCATGATAGACTTTGGGTAATTGACAATGTTTTAGCTTTGGGTAAATAACAGACTAAATCAAAATGGCACATTAAGGCTTTAAGATGGGATTATACTGGTTTGTGTACATCTCAACACCCAATGAAGTTGGGATTATACTGGGTTGTTAAATTTCTTAGTCAATTGTTTTCTCCCAAATTTCTTTTCCATCTAAATTTTTCTTTTATTTCCATGGCTGTTTTATTCTCCTAGAATTTATAGAGGCCCTAATCTAACCTTAAGAATTGATTAAATGATTTCCATCATATGACATTCTTTTCTGGTGCCAAACAATGAAAATCCTTGTAAGAATAAGAAAATGTATTATTGCACCAAACACAATAAAATAAGAAAAAAAAATTCAATGGATATAATTTCTTGTAAACAAACAGAGCTTTAAGAGATCTGCAAAAACATTATTATCAACTAAAAGCAGGTACCTGGGGTCCATAAGAGATTTCAAGTTCAGATCCTGATGCAACAGTTTCAGTTGTGCGTACATAAAGAGTGCGTGAAAGAAAGTAAGCATGTGCATTTGGCCTACAAGAATGGTTAAACATACTACCCTCCAAATATATAGCTTGACCAACCTTGACCTGAATAACAAAAACAAAACAAGATAGAATGAAATACTCTTAAAGTGAATCCTTTGAAAAAATAGGGAGTAGTCTTTGTTAAGGTGTAACCACGTGAAACTAGGTTTCAAACTCTATCAATTCCAGGCAAAGCAAATAGAAAGGAAAACTTAAGGGAAATAAGACAGGAAAGAAAGTTTGGGGGGAAATAAAATATTGGTTTAATTCAGTAAAAGATATGCCATGCTCCATGATTGCATATTAGTCTTGCAAATGGCAACATCAATTATGTAATAGACTAAGAAATTTAAGCATATGAAAAAACTTATTGCACATAATGTTTTAGCTCTAGGAAAATAATGGACAAAGTCAAAACGGAACATTATAATTAAACTTTCCGTGTTTCTTATTATGAAGTTTGGGTAGTAAATGCAGCAATGCATGTATCCAGGATCTAATGAAGACAGTCTCTAAGTTTTTTAGACAGCTAAGACAGCTTAACCCTTGACCCCAGACCCCATTAGAGTCGAAATTAGGCTGGGGTTGTTGTTAAAAAATTAATTGCACTAATCATAAATGGAGTATTATTATCCAATTTAAAACAAAGCACATGAAAGTTGAAACTTTTTTTCCCATAACATTTTATGAGATTCAAACATACCATGAGAGATGCAGAAAAGATTTGAGACTAAGACAAGATTGACCTTTTACCTGTTCTACAATACTGGTTAAAGAATTCCCATGCACATCTGAAATCCCTTTCATATCAAAAGATTTCATTCTGACAATAGCCATCGAATTCACTCTGATTTGTGATAGAAGTATAACCACCTGCAAGAAGACAATGAAACTTCAATCAATAGTTTAATTTTCAAAGTGCTGGAGCTACTTTTGGGATTTGGACTGACTTTTTTATATATTTATGAGGTACTACCTGTGAAATGATCATCCCTGTCATTGGTAGTTTTAGTGCATAGGAATTCTGAAGACAGTTCAGCAGAACGATTGAGTATATATGCAACTCCAGTTTAGTGTCAGGAGGCAGATGTACATAATTGTGGCAGAGATCCTACACAAGTTGCATCATTAGCTTCTTTCCTAATCCAAACTGTAAGGGTCCGTTTTGAACAGGGAAAATACTAGGGAAAGTTTTCAAGGTACAAAAAATGGGTGAAATGAGAAATTGGTTCAAACACAATAAACCTATTTTAGATATTCGTTCAAGTTCAATGTACTTATATATTTCTATCCTATAGACAAGCAGATTTGATTTTCCTTGGAAGTTCTCAACATAAAACCAAACATTGAAAAACCATTTTCCTTGGCATTTGTTCGCATTCCCTACCACTTTGTGGTTTCCAAACATGCCTTAAGCCGTAAAGGAAATGCAACGTAAAGAAATATGAAAGAAAATTAACGAAAAATTTTGAAGGACAATCTAGAAATTAAAAACAGTTCAAATTCAACAGATCATTTATAAATATCTGTTTGAACTTGTTCATTTAATTATGTATATTATAAAAAGTTTAGAAATTCTATGAATATATGTAAATTTTTAAGAAATCAAATGTGATTTTCATTTGCATATTTGAAGGTAAAACCAAACATTAAATATCAACTTTTAGCATTTATTTTTCATTTCCCTACTATTTTGTTTGTATTCCAAACATAGCCTTGAAGATAAGCAAATTATTCTGCACATATACCAAAACTGCTACGAGGTTTGAAACACCACATGAATGATTCTGCTGCTCTATAAATTTCACAATGACTCGACCAGCCAAAACTACATCTGAGGGCAATACTGAAGGCCAATGAGCGCCTTGACATTCATGTCTATGCTCAGGAATATGCTCCGTACATTCATCGGGATTACCAGCTGAAAAACCTGAAATACATTGTGAAATGTATTTTTCAAGTTCATCTGGTATGCCTTCATGGCAGCTAGCTTTCCTTGGAGTTTTGCAGAAGACTTTTCCTCCAGATACTAATTGGCATCGCCTGGAGCAATATAACGGTATAGAGCAAAAATCACAGGGAATTGCATTTGCTGGGAGCTCAATGAAGCAGAAATGACAGTTGGTCTCCCGGTAGGTCTTCAAGATGATCTACATAAAGCTTTTACCGTGATTAAGAATGAATGTCAAGTGTCAACCATCACATGTGATGATGTGTAGTTCCAGTAAAAAAAGCAAATCATCAATTCCATTGATCATTGCTGATATGTTAAGGCTCCATTTGTTTAGATGAAAATAGATAGAGTGTTGAGAAGAACTTCTTCGTGGAAAATGTTTTCCTGAAAATTAATTTGTTTCATGATTAATACTACTTTCATCGGTTTTTTTTTTGTTAATTTTTTCCATCATCTCCGATGGAGCCAAAATTTCACCATTTTTGGCTTTGGGGTGTGATGGAATAAATCAAAATGGATCTCTAAACTATCTGTGCTTCTTTAATTAATGAAGTAGCAGTTAGTCAAACAATGCAACTTTCGACATTGAGCCGGGGGTCTCTTTGGAAACAGCCTCTCTACTTTCGAGTAGGGGCAAGGTCTGCGTACACACACCCTCCCCAGACCCTACTCTTGTGGGATTTAACTGGGTTGTTGTTGTTTGTTTGTTTGTTTGTTAATTTAACAAAATTTGACATATTCAACTTCTTTGTAATGCTTTATTTTGGAAAAAAATACTTTAAATATAATGAAGATTAATTTTGCTTAAATAAGCAGAAAACTGCTCTTGAGTACCCCATATTTTGAGAAACTAACTACCGGGTACCTCACATTTTCAAAATATACTCCGAGGTACCTTCTATTTTGAGAAACTAACTATCGGGTACCTCACATTTTTAAAATATACTCCGAGGTATCCTCTATTTTGAGAAACTAACTATCGGATACCTCCCATTTTTAAAATATACTCCAGGATACCTCCAAATATACATTAATTTTACGCCATTAATTTTAAGAAATAGGGTTTTGGGATTTTAAAAGTAACCAAGATCTTTTTAAAATTGAGTACTCAATTTTCTTCAAATTAAAAAGATCTTGGTTACTTTTAAAATTCCAAAACCCTATTTCTTAAAATTAATAGAGTAAAATTAATATATATTTGGAGGTATCCTGGAGTATATTTTAAAAATGTGAGGTACCCGATAGTTAGTTTCTCAAAATAGAGGGTACCTCGGAGTATATTTTAAAAATGTGAGGTACCCGATAGTTAGTTTTTCAAAATAGAAGGTACCTCGGAGTATATTTTGAAAATGTGAAGTACCAAGCAGTTAGTTTCTCAAAATATGGGGTACCCAAGAGCATTTTTCTGTTAAATAAGACCCATGACACTTTTTTGGGACAAAGAGTGTATAGTATTAGGCCCGCAAAGAAAGAAAATACAGAAATGTTTTGAGAAAATTAATTTCCATTTGCAAAACGAGAAACCATGTTCCTTGAATATACTTCCAGTGCCAAACCCCGGAAAATATTTTAAACAATTTCCAGAAAAATATTTTTCTCCAAACAAACAAAGCCTAAGAGAGCCCAATAAAAATGTAGAGTTTTTTATCACCACAAAAAAATGAATGTTGGCTAATACCGCTGCATAGGGATCTTCTTTATGAACCAAAGAGGCGAGATGGATATCAGTGCGAGATACCATTCCCCTCCCTTTAGTTGAAAAAGACACACATTCCACATTTGCTTGGTCCGCCTCATCTGTCACATAAGGTCTACAATTATAAGAAAGAAAATAAGAAAGGTGTGTAACAGATTATAAAAATCAGAATCAAGTCAAACCAAAGAAATGTGCCAAATAAAACACAAGGAATTGGTCAGGTTAAAGGTGATTTAAACGAATCTAATGAAACCACATTGACCGCATCTAACTTTTACCATCATGTTTTCTAAAAGTTTAAATTGGTGTTCAGCAATGTTGGGAGTGTGTGTACCTCACCCAACTCCGCATTACTATGATATTGTTTGTTTTGGGCCAAACAGTCAAAGATTTGTTTTTGGTAGTTCCCAAAAGGCCTCATACTAATGGAGTGTGTTGAACATTTAAATATGAGTCTATCTCTCTTTTACGTTGCCACGTGGGACTTGGGGGGGCTTTTCCCAACAAGCACAAATCAGCAACCTCAACTTTGTCTTTGTTATACTTCAATGAAACTCCGGGTTCATTTGAAAGAAGAAAAAAATGATTTCCTCAAAAAAGATCTCTAGGTAATACCGTATTTTTCAGATATCGTGTTTATGTACTAGTGTTTTGTGGTTGCATGAGTCCCAAATTTCAGTTTATTCCATTATCTAAAAACAAACATATTCTACTGCAAAATTATATTCTATCAAAACCAAATAATCAATAAATACTAACAATAAATTCTACTGCAAAATTATCAATACCAACTGTGACAGAAATAAACAATAAATACTAAATACGTAGTAGTACTTTTTGATGGGTATATTGGGACCGGCCGGCCTAATATATACTATACCCAGCCTGTTTTACTATTAGTTAGGCTCGGGATGCCAAGCCAAGTCCACCGACCAACGAATCCCACGTGATATGGGTGTGGGTGAACTGTCATGTCCGGTGGATTAACGTCAATTTGTAACAACTTCAAAACGCAACATGAAAAAGTACCAAAACATTAAACTTATACCAAAATAGGACCTCCTATGTTTTTATCCCATAAATAGGAGCATTAACACTGTACAATGCCAAAAGTTGGCACTGTATGTTGGCATTTGATAGTGTTTTTGGCATTATATATTGACACTCTATGGCATTATAGGTCCTTGTTTGGTATAAAAAGATTTAAAGCCCAACTTTGGTATATGGAGCATGTTTTTATCTTAGTTAGGTAGTTTTCTCTAATAATATTGAATTAGAATTTTACAGGATAGAGTTAAGATACCTAGCATCTGACTCATTTTGTTTGGACATATCAGATGAACTGTGCATCAACTTATGCTGGTCCAAAATAATCTCCAGCTCGCCTTCAATTTGCCTCTTTCCACTCAAAGACCCTTCCATCTTTAGAGAAACATTCAGGTCTTGGATGGCTTCCTCGTACTTTCCCAATGAAGCATTTGCTTTACCTCTCCTGAACCATGCCTGAAAAGATCATCATGGCAACCAAATACGAAAAAAATGAATTAACATGCAATAATTCAAAAAAATAAGATCAGACGAGTGAAAGTGTACACACAAAACACACCTTAGCATAAGTGGGAGATATCACAATAGCCCGGCCACAATCTTGTAAACACTCTTGAACGAGTCCCATTTTCTGGCCATTATTGAAGCACACATTGTTATAAGTAATGTGGTTATAAACAGCTTTTCATTTAAAAGAATTGGCAATAGAAAGATGGCAAACTCAAACATACATTGATGAGTATGCTTCTTGGTTCACTAAAAAACAAAATATACAATTTTCCAGAAAAAAATACACAATCATTTTTCTCCCATTGAAAATTTGAAATCCAGTAGAAGAAAGATCCATATTCGGTGATCATTAAAGCCAATATGAAAACAGTCAGCCGTACGTAATATTTGTAGGGAAAAACAATTGATATTAGACATTTATATTTTGGACTCACATGCAATGCAGATGCACGATTCACATAGAGCGTTGCAGCTAGGGTTTTCTCCCTATCATCACTAGTTGGAGCAAATCGCAATGCCTGTTACACTCATGAAAATTAAATTATAAAAACAAGTTTAATATATGAAAAATGATCATCAAATTACAAAAATAAAACAAACATGAAGCAACTCTTTTGGCTGTAAATTAAGATTGCTCAGATAGTGTAACAAAGTTCTGCCATGAAGGATTAACCTAACGACATAGAAATACAAATCCTTAAATGTTGGTTTGCAGTTCCATGTTTTATTGAACCCTGGTGAGATCACAATATGAAAGGTTTGTTATAGTCCTCCTCATTTGTCCTCACCTGTGTGTACAAATCCAAGGCTTTCCGGTGATCTCCACGGGAGAAGCACTTGTTACCGCGAATCTTTAAATCAGAAGCAACATTGGGGTCCTTGCGACACAAAGCCGTTTCTGGGTCCGTCAAATCCTTAACAAACTTCAAAGAAGAGCTGAGATTAGCATACTCTGGAGTACATGCATGACACCAAAGATAATAAATACTCCCATGGAAAAAGAATCCAAATCCTCAAAATTACAACTTTTATATATGTTGGGGTATATTTTCAAATATCTTTGAAATGAAGCTAAAAGAGTTGACAATGCTTTAGTTTCAACTTTAGACTACATAATGGACTAAATAAAAAAGGCATTAAAACTTCCCTTGCTTCTTATTCTCTGTTTGAGGGGTAAATGAAGCAATGCATAAAGACCTCAACTTTGAAGTTGGGATTATTTTGGATTATTGTTGTTTTATAATTTCAAATTTATTTCTTAGTTAACTTGATTTGAAATATTTAACTTGCATTAACACTTTTTGTTTAAAAACATCTGATATGATGAACATTAACTTTTTTTCTCTCTTCAAATTTTACTCTTTTTCTGAGACAAAAAAAATTGAGAAAGAGTAGTAGAAAACATAAATTGAAATTGGAAATTAACTGGTTGATTGAGCTAAACAGGAATTGAGCTTTTGATGCGATAAATCAATTGGAAATGGTAGGGGATGGCTGTGGTTACCTGGTGAAAGAGGGGAAGGCGGTTGAAGAAGTTGAGTAGGGACGATGACGTGGCGGGGAGGTCATCGGCGCTGCTCGCTGAAATTTCCTGCCGGAGACCGTTGGGTACGGCGGATTTCAGCCTCTCCATGTCTTCGCGCGCTTACGGCGATCGACGATTTCGCCTCTATCAAAGTCTCGACGACGGACTTATAAATATATTTGTTACTCCGTAGTCCGTACGATTTTGTTTTGAGAAAAAAATGGTAGACTTATCATTTGATTAAAAAACAAAATGGTCTGAAATAATTAAAAAGAATAAAATTCACGGTTAATAATTCTATGCATTTTGTGACACTTTTGTTTTTTATACTAAAATTTGTCATTTGTTTGATTCACTTTTACAATTTTTAAAATTATTGGTTGCTTAACTTATTTGCTTTATTGTACATATTTTGCCACATAATTTCAAATTGTTTAAATATTTTTTAAGCAAATAGTCTTTACTAATTTTATCTCATTTTTATACCAATATCTTTACATATAATAGAAATACGGAATGTTAGTTATGATATGTTCTTTATTTTTTAGTTTTCAATCCAAATATTATTAATTTAAACGTATGTAAAGATTGTTTTTAATTACTCGGTATAATTTTAAAATCTAAATTACTCCGTAACACTTTACGGTCTCATCATAGTTTATGTTCCTCGTAACATTATTAATAAAATAGAACTAATAACATATCACTTCCTCTGTTCATAAAAGATTGTTACTCTGTACAATTTAAATTTTTTGATCAAATTATGACACCATTTAATCACAAATTAAATATAATTTAAAATAATTAAATATTCAAAAAATGTTATAATTTAACTAAAAAAATTACGAGTAAATTATAACAATATTTTAGAGAGGGAGAGTAAACAAAATAAAAGTAATATAGACTTTTTATTGGTAGAAACAAAGTGGTAAATAATGTGGCCGGCATGGGATCCAATGATTTCTCAAAGCCTCAATCAATATTTGTCAGGCCCAAACAATTCACCGTTCTCTGTTCCCTTCACCTTCTCTCTCTTTCTCTCAGGTATTTCTGCTTGCTTCCACTTCAAGCCTTATCTCATAAGTCTTCTTGAACGAGTTATTGCCTGTGCTGTTTATATAATCCAGAGGCGTGAAACGAAACCAGTAGGTGTCGTAATCATCGTCGTCGATGGGTTTATAGTTGCAATTTCCAATCTGATACCGCTGTAGAGTTAGGTTTTCGTGCCGAAGTTTATCCGTTTTTCTTCTCTGATTCGTTTGATTGTGGCTCTAATTCCAGCTAGGGTTTCTCGTCTCTGCTCGGAGAATGGCTTCACTGGTCAGAGAATGGGCTGGAATTCAGCAGTTTCCTGCCGCCACTCAGACCAAGTTACTTGAATTGCTAGGGAATTTGAAGCAGGAGGTCCCGCTCCTCCCCTTTAAACTATGCTCTCTTTACTCATCATTTACTTTAATCATTTTCATTACATAGTTCTACACTGATATTTAAATGAATTGAATTAGTAATAACTTGAGTAGAAAATATTAAACAGTTTCGGGATTAAGGGAGTGATACTTAGGCATAAATGTGTTTTTTTCCTCTCTAGATTACTTTTCTGTCTTGTTAGTCACCCTGTCGACTTCAGTTTTAAATGGTCTGATTGACATGTTCACTTCAGTTTTCTTGTTGTTCTTAAAAGACGCTTACTATTTTGAAATCTATAAGTTGCAAGTGAAATTTAGCAAGTTTTGCTTAGTCCCTTCTCCTAACTCGTTGAGCCATGCTCAACCACTTACTCAAAGTTGACGAGGGAAGTTATTTTTTGCGAGCCGCATAAGTTGATTTCTTTTTTTAACAAACAGAGGTTGGTTACTGAGGAAGGACTACTAAAAGAAGAACGTAACTTGCTTGATAACCATTAACCAGAAACAAAAAAGTTAAATTTGCAGTGATGAAAAATAAATGTATGCCATATAATTATAATGTGGAGTTCTTTTTAATGATTTTTAAATTTCAATGGCACTGGTTATTGACAACATTCTCTGTGTGTGTGTGTGTGTTTGTTGTAGAATGTGAACACTTTGACCATCTTGGTGATGGGGAAAGGAGGCGTTGGAAAATCTTCTACTCTAAATTCAATCATAGGTGAAAGAGTAGTTGCTGCAGGTGCTTTCCAGGTATCTACCTATTTCTCATTTAATTTAGAGACTAAAAGACTTCTTTTCCATTTGGCAGCAATAATAATAAGAACATCATGTTTTTCAGGCAGAAGCTCCAAGACCTGTAATGATCTCACGTTCACGTGCCGGGTTCACCTTAAACATTATTGACACTCCAGGGCTTGTTGAAGCTGGATATGTGAATGACCAGGCCCTTGATCTCATAAAGAGGTTACCATTCTAAATATGCTAAATCTGTTGAATAATCTAAAATGTTTATTTAAAGTATAACTACTTGTGTGTTTTTATACAAGTCAAGAATATTTATCCCTCCATCTCTAAAAGAACTTCTTCCCTTCTTTTTAAAATTGTCCCAGAAAGAAGTGAGTTCATATGATTTCTTCTCATATGCATAAACCTCCATCATACAATTTCATTTTTCTTGAACTTCGTGAAAAAGAGAACAATAACTTCTTTTAAGAACAGATGGATTTAAGTAGCTTTTCATTGAGTTCATTGTGTTTTTTTATTGGGTTGGAGGGAGGACAGGTGTGGGGGTAAGGTAGGACAGGGATTTATTGAATAATTCAATGCAATCTAAATCTGCTGAGTGAATCTAAATAGGTTCCTTTTGAACAAGACAATAGATGTTTTGCTCTACGTGGATCGCCTGGATGTATATAGAGTGGACAACTTGGATTCACAAATTGTGAAAGCCATTACTAATGCTTTCGGAAAGCAAATTTGGCGTAGAGGTATTGTCGTGCTTACTCATGCTCAAATGTCACCACCTGATGGGTTGAGTTATGAAGAGTATTCCAGCAAAAGGTCAGCCGCTGTGGTGAAGGTTGTTCGTCAGGGAGCGCAAATGAAGAAATCAGAATTCAAGGTCTCTTTTATTATTCACTCTTTTAATCTACAGATTTAATATGCTAAACACGCCTCCCGCTTCCAAAATAGAATTCCATTTGATTTTCCTGGTTATAAATGAAAATGTGTAAACTATGATCACACAATTAAGAAAAAATGTATTGAAATTGTCATACTTAAAACAAAGTAAGTATATTCAAATAAATATCCTCTATATTAATGATCAAAGTGTTTCACTCATGACCGTGAAAAGTGGAATGAGGACTTCATTTTGAGACAAGGGGAGTATAAGAGAGAGTCCCTTAGGAGTCCTTGCAAACTAAGTTTCATGGAGATGGAGACGGGTACCCATATAGGGACAAGATCGGGACCAAGAAGACACCAATTTTTCCATTTTTACAAAGGATTTGGGTGTCGGGACCTCCCAAGTGCGGATGTTTCGGGGATGAGAAGTGACACTTATTTTAAGAATCCGTGCAACATATTACAAATAGGGTAGTGGGGCTGTAAAATATTTTTGTAGAAGAAATGTGTTCAATTTTTTATGGCAGTTTTATTGATTCTGGACTAGAAAGGTAGGTTAGCTATCAATCAATGTTTGACTGTAAGTTCCATGGTTAAATGGTGGAGTGTCTACTTGCGTTCTGCTTTGTCACGAATCCCATATGATGGTCCAATTGGTTGTTGCTTCCATTGACCCATTTTTGTCATCTTGATTTCAGAGAACTCCCATTCCACATGTGTTGGTTGAAAACAGCGGAAGATGCAACAAGAATGAAAGTGATGAGAAGGTTTGCTGCGTTTTCTGATGAATTACACGAGTTTTTTTAAAAGAAAAAACACCTTCACTTTGCTAACAAAGGGTTCAATCGTACACAGATCCTTCCAAATGGAACTGCTTGGATCTCCGATCTTGTTCAGACCATCACGGAGGTTGTATTAAGAGGAGGCCAAAGTATTTTTGTTGACAAGGAGTTGATTGAAGGACCAAATCCTAATGAAAGAGGAAAACTGTTCATCCCTTTGCTTTTAGCTTTCCAGGTAAGTTACTTTTTAAGGACTNCCCCCCCCCCCCCCAAAAAAAAAAAAAAAAAAAAAACTTTATCCATTCAACTTTCACAAAGTATGGTTAGAACCTGCTTAGATGAAAGTGAAATCTTGCGAGCCACACATGCTCATAATTCTACAACGAAATAAAGCAAGGAGTGTTTTATTTTCTTTTCAAATCACACCTTCACAATTTGGAATATTGTTTTTTAACAATCCTCACTGTTCATGTCGTCTCTGGCAGTTCTTTGTTGTGAAACGGATTGAGAAGGGCATCAAGGCTGATATCAGGGGACGATAAGACCGTTGTTATGGAAGAGTTCGATAAGTGTAATATCTCAAAAATCTTTTGTACTCCCGGGTAGTGAAACTGTACGATGTTCTTGAGTTTTGACTTTTGAGTGCTTTCGGAGCTTAGATTGTCTTCTACATACCTAACTATTTGATTGCTTTCTCATTTATTCTGTTTTTAAAAAAAAATTGAGAAATTTTTCTACATGCTCTCTTATGTTGCAAATTCTTCCGAAAGAATTTGCAACATATGAGAGGACCATTTTTGGGTAAATTTACTTTTTGATTTTTGGTTTTGGTAATGCTAGAATATCTGGTTTTGTTTGCTAGACTACTACTCCATATTAAAATATTTCATCAAAAAAATACTCTAAATTACTCCGAAACTCTTATTGCTATTTGGAGTATTACAGTACATTTTAATATTTTATGCAAGAAAATATTTTTTTAAAAAATTTATTTACAAGACTACTATTAATACGGAATATGTAATACACGAGTAATTTTTTAATGAATTAATGATGGAAGTTTGTTAATTTAATACGTTTACACTTCTCATGAGCAAATAAGGTTTTTTTGCACACACTTTCGTCCTTACGTTAGTGTATGTGCGGATCTATATAAGTTCTATTCACATTTTTTTATATAAAAAAAGTTATTTTCATCTCCTCTGGAATCTCAATTTGAAAAACAAAGTCCAAGTCTCTTCGTGCAAAGATTTCATGCTATTCATCATGAGTTAAGCACTTGAAACACAAATAATTTTTACACCTTTTTTTGTCATCTAAGTCATACCCAACAAGATGCTACATATAAGTATAATGAGTACGGAATAGAAAATTGCATTGGGTGCCCTCATGCTTTGATAGAAGTAAGAAGATAAATCATGGTAAAATTTAAAATTTAAGCTTGATCTTTAAAGAGATCGTCTCGGGCTACACAAAGAATTTTCACATTAGATAGAGTTCTTGCGAATGTCGGAAATTGATTGACATTAAACTTAACACTACCTAAAGATCATCTAAGCCAATCATGCGGCCTTGTGGACAAAAAAAAAGTATGTTCTCTGGTCTTTACAAGTTCCAGTTCATTAGTCCATACTCATGAACTAAGCATGATCTAAGCCAATCATGCGGCCTTATTTATCATGCACGAGTTGTTGAAATTTAAGCCAATTGAAGATGTAATAGTAGAAAATAATGTTTCTTATTTGGTTAAAGAAGAAAAAAAATAGTAAGAAGAGAAAATAAACTAAAAAGATGGAAAATAACTTTCCTTATACTTTAGGGTGAAAAAGAAGAGAAATCTACTTTTATTTTCTTTCCGAATTCCTTTACACTATGTTTGGTTCAAGAAATTTGAGAGGGAAGAGAAAAGAAATTAAGATGGAAAATCGTTTTGCTAGTTTGTTTAGAGAGGAAAAGAAAAGAAAAGTGGATGAAAAAGAAAATAAAAAGGTAAAATATACTAAGAGAAAGAAAAATTATTTCCTTCCATTTTAGTGAAGAAAATAAAAAGGTAAAATATACTAAGAGAAGGGACCAATTTGGCATATCAATAGTTCAATGACTAACGGGTTGATTCAATGATGCACAGAGTTTTTTTTTTCCTTAATAGATTTTTTGAAGCGAAGATGTCATGAATTGAAGTTTACCCGTAGAACCCAAGGCCTTGGCCAATGTATGGTGCCTATATGTCTCTCAAAACTGGCCATCCTTTTCTGATGATATCCTTAATCTTTGCATCAATTCGCCTTTGGATCCTAGGTGGACAAAGCTCTGCGGCATAGGCATTCAGTTTTGCTGCCAATGTTGATCTCTGAAGCTCCTCCTCACCCATGTTCCCAATCAACTGGAGGAGGAATGGATTCCGTTTCAGCTCAAATTTCTGCATGGTGGGAAAATCTTCATTTTGGAATCAACTATAAGGTATGTTTGGATCACGGAAAGTGCTAGGGAAAGAGGCAAATTATTTTCATGTATCCTAGTAGGGTTCTTTTTTAGTCGGGGGTCTCTTGGAAACAAAACCTCCGTACTTTATAATAGGGGTAAGGTCTGTGTAACTTACCCCCGACCTTACGTGCGGGATTCTATTCGGTTGTTTTGCTGTTGTAAAACTATTTTATTGTATATGGTTTTAACTTGAAAAAATACAATAAAAAAACAAAGGAAAAGTAGAAATAAATAAACAAAATGATTTTCTTCCAATTTGAATTTCTTTTCATATAATTTCACACTTAAGGCCAATTAGGAGAGAAAAACAGCCCACAGACCAGATTAATACTGCATTACCTGATGTTCAGGCTCAGCAGGGTGAAATGTTTCAAGCTGTTGAATTTGAGTAGTGACAATGCTGCTTTTGGATCTTGATTGCTCTCGCTCTTTGCTGAGGCCAGCCAACCTCACCTCCTCGGTTCCATTCGTAAATATGATAGACCTGCTTTTACACAAAAGTGTTTGAGCTCTCTCTACTTGCGCTTGCATTACATGTATTTCTGCAGTCCCCAGGAAATGTCACTGAAAGTGATACCTGTACTGGTTACCCACATCGGGACCTTGCCCATAGACTTGCCTAGAATCATGACCTGACCAGAACACCTCCAAGAGTTGTCTAAAACTAATCATTCTGGAATCGTATTCAATCTACACAATATTAGATAAAGAATGGTATGAAATAGAAACTCACATGAGGAAGAAAAGTAGAAACTTTAGATCAAAGAAATTATGCATCTTCAAATGAGTTTTATTTGAACTACAGAGTACTGTTTAGGACTCTCGTATAGCTTCAAATGGATATGCAAAGGGTAAAACAAGAAACATAATGAGTAAACAAATCAAAGACAAAAGCGAAACTATTGCATCTTAAGTAAATGTAATTTGAGCATAATATTACTTCTTTAAATAAGAATATGATATTTGGCTGGTTCATTTCCCAGTATGATTAATGTGGTGAAGCTGTATGATCAAGGGTTTGAGTCCTAGAATAGGAGCCTCTTGCAAAAATGCAAGGGAAAAAGTTTGCCTACATCACACCATTGTGGTGTGCCACTTCCCACGACCCTCGTTGTGTGGTATGCATGCATTGAGTTGCCCTTTATTAATTTGCATGCTTGATCCCCAAAAAAAGATAGTCATTGTGCAATGAAGGATGAAACTAGTAAGTAAAAAACATGTAATTGTTGTTCATTGATGAACATTTGCTGTCTTGTCAGCACATGATTCAGTCACGAATAAATCCTAGAGCACAATTTGCAGCTTGCCTTGTCTATTTCTCTACTTCTCTGAATGTTCAAATATTAAGAACTCATTCAGCAATAACTCGGCAATAACTCAATAACACCAATCACCCAAAATGTAGCACTCTCAATTGACAAATTTGTGTTCTACACAGAGAAAAATTGTTATCCTCTATGAAAATTTGTCACGGGAAATCTAAGCTCTAATGGCGAACCCATGATCAATCAAACGACCTAATTTTACCCCAAACACGTTTCTGATCTATGCGCGAAAATGGAGAATTAGATTCACACGCTTAAGAAAACCGAAAATTTACCTGAACGCACTCGGCGTGGTCGCCTAAGTTGCGGTACTCGGGGTTGCTTTTGGAGCCGCCGGCATATCCGGCGGAGGTTCTGACGACGCCGTCTAAGCAACCGAACACCGCCTCGGACCTCCAGAAACTTCCGAGAGCAAAAACAGCTGTTTTCAGGTAGAGATTGGACGGATCCGGTGGAGACTCGATGGCCCGAGCCGGAAATCTGATGCTTAAACTTGAATCTGCGAGCAATAAAATGATTAGGAAAAGAAAATTGATGGTAACAGATGAGAGAAATGCAAATCTTCCGGCGACCGTCATTCCGATGTTGAAGACAAAGCGGTAAAATTATGAACAATACTGTACAATCGTCTCCATCCTCACTCTTTCTTCTCTTTACTCCCTTCCTCCCAAAAATAATGTCAACATAAAATATTATTCTCCCTTATAGTTTTGTAAAATTTTTTGAATTTTTTTATTTCTTATCGATTTATAAATAAAACAATTTTAAAAAATGTGATATTTTATATATTGCTTGAAATGTGTTAAAACATTTTAGGAGAGAAAGAATATTTTGATTTTTCGTTCCCAATCTAAACTATCTATAAGTTTACGATATTTTACTTAAGTTATTTTCAATACAATTTAGAAAATTAAAGTAGATCAAAAAATAAATTTTACATACTCCGTATTAAAATACTAAATGAAAAAGGTAACGCTACCATAATCTTTTATCGGATGAGTAACGAAAATAAAAAATGAACAAAGATTGACTCTATAAATACTTACGATGTCCTAAAGTGTTCTTCTTAATTCATATTCACACGGTCAAATTTTAATTATTTTATTTACTTATTTTCATTATTTATTTGATAAAATAATATATTTTGCCATTACTTGTTTTGTAAAACTTTTGATATTGTTTTAAAAAATATATAAATTTTATTTTTTAATTTTATACCTATAATCAAATAAATTAAATTGAAAATAAAGTCTGTCAAACTTCGTAAACGGAAAAGGAACAACGTTTGAAGACGGAGGTAATACTAAACATACAATTTAATTCAAGACAAAGAGAGTAGTAAATTTTATAATGGATCATTTGAAATAAAAAGTCATATTTAGTACTCCGTATTATATTCATGATTTTTTTGATAATAGATGCATCTCTACGGATAATTTCATTTTTTACATTTCGTCATACTCATATTTAAGTGAAAAATAGAAGTATAATTTCACTAAGCTCTATATTCTTGGTATAGTCAAATGTCAAGGTCATAAATGCGGTACAATACTTAAATACTAAAATTCTCATTCACTTTATACAAAGTCAAATTTTATTAATTTTGTTAGCTTATTTTCGTGCCCTCTTGGATAAAATAATATAGTAATGTCACTTTTAGATTTATATATCTTTCATGTAATTTTTAAATATGTTATTTTTATTTTTTAATTTCATATAAAATGATGTTAAAATAACTACAATCAAATATCGTAATACAAAACAAAAATTTTATTTATGAACGTAGAGAGTAAATAATTAACAAATAAATTTTAAACAAATAACTTAGTTTGTGACATATTTGTGAGACGGGGAAGGAGAGAAAAGATCACGTCAGTTGCATAACTTCTTCAAAAGAAAAAAAAAGAACCATTTTTTAGACCAAATATAACCCAAGAAACAAGAAAAGATGGAAGCTCAAGAGAAACTTTGCATATAGCAATTGATTTAGCTTGACATCAAAAAAGAAACTAATCTAAATCGATCACATTTTAACGCCTAATCCTACACTAGTAACTACGTACGTATTAAATTTCCGCAACAATTAATAATAGTGTTTACGTCCCCCAAGTAATACAGATGAAAGTATGCGAAATCATAGACTCCCCCTTGAATCGTGCTTACAAAACACAAATTGCGCATCTTTCTTTTGGTCTCGAATCAAACCCTGCAAATAAATAAATAAATAAATAACACGCTTTGTCAATTAAAACCACAGAGCATACGTTCTCGTTCTATAAACTTCATATCATACTATACTAAAATGATATGATAATACTACGTAATAATAATCACGATAAACACATGAACAGGTAAGGCAGGAAATAAATGAAATACAAAGTTCATCGGAAACATAATGGGTTGTCCACAACCATACCTCCATCACATCCACAACAACCTCAACATCCGAATAACATTTACCCTCAATATGAATAATCACTTCCCTAAGCGTAAATGTTTCCAGGGAAACATAGACCTCCGGACTTGATTCCCCTATCTTTTTGATGATATTTGCACCATCTTTACCAATGAGATCATCAATACACGACAGGGGAATTCGCAGACATTTGCGAGCCTACAAAACAAACCAGCGATTAATCCACATATTGCAACGCTCCAGAGAGGGAATAAAGATTGTACAGTGTGTTGTTCATCTACACCAATACTCAAAACCCAACACACTGAATGGAAACACACCAAGGGGAAAAACTAACCATAAACTCTCCTTCAGCTTTCACGTCTGAATATGTTTTTTCAGGTACACACATTCCCTGATATGATGAACGAATGCCTTTCTGTGGAGTACCCATGCGCATTAAAAAAACGTGACTACATGCCAGAGAATACTTTTTTAAGGGATAGGCAAGATAATATGATCCAGCAATTTTTATGCATTTGAACTTACTCCAATTTTATGCATTTGAACTTACTCCAATTTTTAACTCTAACATCGTGCTCTCATCAACTCCAAACTCTCCGAGATAAGAAACAACTGACTCAACTGTTTTGTGTACATACTCACGGTCCCCTTCCACATTAACAATCACATCACCAGGGAAAAAAGCTGCCATGTTACCTACACAGTGTGTGCCAACAATTATTTATAAGATGCCTGATAGTTAAAATAAGAACTAGCAAAGTTAATAATAACATATGAATAGATAATATCCCAGGACTGCTTACTACACACCTGTTAGATACATATTAAGGCTGTGCGGATGGGACTTCAATGTGTATAGAATAATTAACTTTTTTGCATGTGCAGCCGGTACAAGTAGTCTTGTGACGCATTTGTCGTAAGGCATGGAGCGCAAAAGGTACCGGTGATGCACCGCAAAAGCAAAAAGAGCCAGAAGCACAGAGCGTATAGAGTCCCTTTTCACTAATACCATAACCTGTGTTCAACAATTTCATATAATATTACATATGAAATCATATGTAAAAGAAATTATTTACCCTTTATAATAGGCCAAAATGATATCATTTTCATGTTTTTTTAAACACAGCTACCGTCACATTCTACATACAAGCGTGCATCTTAAATAAAACTAAACTAGAACTTTATAATAATTCTGACTAAGAGCAGAGGGCTTAACAGCCTAGCAGGATTTCAAGGCCTCCAAGCAACTTTAGCATTCAAGGGACAATACCACCCACAAAGTCTAGAGTGAACTATTGCATACTGAACTGAGTAGTTTACAGATGATAAAAACATGTCCCATAATCAGAGAGACCAATTATAAATTAAATCTCTAACCCCACTTAAGCTTCATCCCAATCCAGTACCCAAGCATAACCAATTCAACAAGACAATCATGAAACATAAATGTGTCAAAGAAAGATGGCGAATAAACTCAGACTTTACTTACAATTCCGACTCCAGTAGCTACAGAATGAAAATTCACTTCAACATTTTCCTTCCTGAGATAATATTTCTTGAAACTATTCATGTGCTTGTAAAGATTAAAGGCAGCAACATCTGTTGTGGAAATCAACAACCTAAAGGCAGTCCACTCTGGACAATAATCATAGTCAGCAACGAATAAACTGACTTCGTGTTTCACACGCAAAAGGCAACATTTGAAGTCAGCAATTGTATAAATTTTACAAAGAACAAAATTCAGAGGGTGTGTGTGTGTGTGACAAGTTTGAAGAGCAAGAAATTGCATTCATTCCCACAAACATAAAGTTACGAGAGTGTAGGTCTCAATCAAGGCCAGGAAAAGAGGATTAGAGAAAAAAAATTAAAATTAGAGAAGTATTGAATTCTCATGAGTTTAGACCTGCAATGTAGCGAGTATCAAACATCTAGCCGGCATACATAGGTCAATAACACTTTGCACCCTCAAAATAGGTATATTTCTCACTTTACACCCTCAAAAAAATACACAAAGGATGAAGTGTTATTGACCCAGCATACATATCAAATTGCAAAAAATTGACACATAAGAAGTGAAGTGAAAGTGCTTTAAATAAAAAAAATTAACACAATGTATAGATTACAGAATTGGCGGATAAATAATATAACAACAAAAGAAATTATATAAATATCATCCACTTATCCCCTAGACTTCTTTGGTTCCCTTTTTTTTGCATTTTTGAATCTGTATGCCTATTTCCTGTCTAAGCAGTCCCTGCCTACGCACAGATATGAAGAATGTTGGAATTGTGTACCCTGTGCAGCCACATTCGGATCAAAGATTAGTTTCCACTCATTGGGAGGAGTCCAACCCGGGGTCTGATCCACATTCGGCACAAGATGTAGTTGCCTCTTTCTGGCAGTGGAACCCGGTGTCTCATCCACATTCGGATCAAAATATAGTTTCCTCTTTCTGGCAGTCCAACCCGGTGTCTCACCCACATTATTCAAGTCCTGGGAACAAATGATCGATGAGGAATAAAATGGCATGCAATAACTTAGGTATAGAGAACATAAACCCATCAACAATGAAACCACTGATAGTTGAAAGAAAAATGGAAAGTAAAACAGAGGATTGTATTGTTGCCCTCAATTATATACTACAATAAAATGCTTGAGAACTGACAATCAAAATCGGCGTTGGAACTGAGAATGGTTAAGCTAAGTATGGAGCATTCATAAATCAAACGGCAGGGAAAATATGTGAAGAAAAAGAAAGGGGAAAGCGGTCACATGCCTCGGATCTGGATCGGCGATGGCGATTCTTAACAGATCCGATCTGCCCTGGTTTCGGTTCCTCCGTCCATATCTCTTCTCCGATTGCCATGAAGCACTGTGTTTCTTCTTGCCCTTATTATACATGCAAGACTAGACGGCAACAGAACAGGACCTATCTTTGCCTCAAAATTGACAGTCTAGATTTTTAATTAAATTGTCCTTAATTAATTTTTAATTGAAAATTATTATTTTTACAAATATTTGTTGAAGATTTACTTAAAGAGAAATTTATCTAAATAGGGCTAAAACATAATGACTTTCCCAATATAGGATCATTTATTTTTATTTCCTAATGTAGGACTTTTGGTCATTAACAAGTAGTCATTATTCAACTAAATGTCTAGCATTATTGGACATTATTCCTCCCACGAGGTCATTATTTAGTCTTATTTAAGGAATAAAAAAGTTTAAGTCCTACATTATGAAAGTCATTATGTTTTAGTCCTATTTAGTGCAAATTTCACTTACTTAAATAACAATATTAGAGATTAGCGTTAGCATTTTGGAATATCGTTAATTAATCTCTAACGATGTTTGTAGTGGAACCTGTTTGGGAATAGCGTTAGAGATTAGTGTTAGCATTTTGGATAAAATTTTAACAATACAGATTACTTTGAAAACATTAACGCTAAACGCTGACGTAGATAGTCTTTTAAAAATGATGACGTTAATCTCTAACGTTATTCCCAAACAGACCCAAAAATCACCGTCGACAATTTATTAGCAACACTCATCATAGCTGATATCCATCGAAACATACTAACATCATTACTGTCTTTTTCTATTAAATTAGAGCCATGATAGTGGTACACCAAAAGTGTATCCCAATTATACACTACATGCTTTCTCACCACACATTTTTATTTGATTTTTATTTATTTATTTTTAAATTTTTTGCCAACTATTGTGGATAAGGAGGGGGTGGGGGATATTTGGGGTACACCAAAAGGTGTACCCCTAGCATTTTTCATTAAATTATGATTATCGCTTCTCATGATTACCTATATTCGCCTCTACCTTCGTCTTTTCTAATATTTGGTTATTTTAATGCCAAGTAATAATACACTCTATTTACAATATAAATAAAAATTGATTATTCTATTCTCATATATCAAAAAAGTTTAAATATATCAATGATTAGCTGATCTTCTTATTTTAATTTTTTATGTATATATGAAATGTAACACTTTAAAACTATTAAATTTTGCAACAATTTTAAGTTTAATTTAAATTAAATTTAAAGTTATTTATACTCGATCTAATCAGATAAAATCATATCAGATTCGATTAGATTATATGAGACTGAATCAGATCAGATCAAATTCAATTAAATCTGATCAGATCTAATCAGATCAGATCCAATTAGATCTGATCAAATTGAATCAGATCAAATCAGATCAGATTCAATCGGATGAAATCATAACTTCAAAATTCAGATCAGATTATACTGGAAATCATATGCTCCCCCGTCTAAAAATTATCTCTCATTACACGTTATGATATTTGACTGAAATTATTTTTCAAAGTATTTTATATGAAAAATAGTGCGAAATTAAAAAAATTACATATTTAAAAACTATTTCAAAATATAAACAAAATTAATAGTGATAAATTTATACTCGGTATTATTTTATCAAAATAGATATTGAGGTCGCAAATTATACCGTACATCCGGATGTACGGGAAGAACCGTACATCCGGCAACTAATTAGGGCAAACGCCACTGCAAGAACGGCCGACCATGAAGGAGAAGCAGGCTGCGCGATCGATCGGCGATTACGAGGCTGCGCGAAGTTCCAATCGGCGATTCAAGATGAAGATGTAGGTTGTTTGGAAGTCCGATCGACAATTGAAGGATGAGGGTCTGATCAGCGACATCTGCTTGGATATGCGAAGATCTGATTGCGATTCCTGTTGCTCCAGATTTTTTCTTCGCGATTCCAGTTGCTCCCGATCTTTTCTTCGCGATTTCCAGTTTATTCAGTATTATATGAATGGTAGGTTGTATAAGATTGAGTACTAGGTTATATGGGAATGAGTACTAATGTGTTTTAGAATGAATGTTATGTTATACGTAAATGAATATTGAATAAATTTGTGAAAATGAATACGACGTTATTTCTGAATGAGTACTGCGTTATTTCAGAATGAATACCACATTTTTCAAATGAACTATTATGCTTGTACAAGAATGAGTACTACTTTATTTCGGAATGAGTACTACATGGATGTACCTATAGGTACATCTGGATGTACCATATAGTAACTCATATTGAGGTATGTTTTAGTAGGGACTACTGTATAGTTTGGCGTTGGTTCCATTTTCTTTCCCAATTTCTATTGTTTTCCCTTGATGCTGCTGTTCGATCGGATGCGGGAACCGTGATCACTCCCGGCAGAATGCGGTCAAATTCGGCGGTTTTATCTTCATCGCAGCCGGTAGACTCCCCAGACGACGGTCTCGCCGCAGAGCGCCGCCTACGTGAGGCGGAGGATCGACTCAGGGAGGCCATAGAGGAATTGCAGCGTCGACAGCATCGCGAGCAAGGTGTCCACCCGCCTTGCGACCACGCCGACGAATCCTGCGTCGCCAATGCCATCGGAAACCTTTGCCAGAGCTTCCTTCTCTCTTACGGAGTTCGTGTTGGCATCGGAATTCTCCTCCGCGCTTTCAAGCTCGCTCGCGGCAAGTCCTATTCATCTCTCCTTGACCTCAAGGTGCCCAAAATCGTCACCTAACACAGTGTATTTCAGTTCATATGTGCCATTTAATCGGTCTATTGAATAACTAGTATTAATCGCTGAGCATCTTTTTTTGTTCCTTCTTAGAAATTGACCTCCTAGTTCTTAAATTGGTAAAATTTCCTTCTTCTCGGTTGAAGAACTTGTTATATGCTCATTTGATCACTTTAATGTCCATCTGAGGAGAATTAATCAATCAGTGCATGCTATACCCAGCACAACTCATTTTATTTGTTGACTATGAAATTGAAGAGTTGAAAATTAGCAGTCTTACAGTGGTAGTTTCTCTTTAATCAACTGACTTGTTTTCTGTAATTTAGTTATCACTTATCAGAAATCAACCCCTTAGACCCTTAGTAGTTTCCCTTTAATTGGCTTGAATAATAACTTTATGAACTCTATATAGCAACTCGTCTCAGAGAAAGATCTGATTGTGAGAGAGGAAGCTTGTCGGATTGGCTTACTCTTTGGGGGGTTTACTGGTTCCTATCATGCTCTAAGGTGTGTGCTGAGGAAGATTCGAAAGAAAGAGACGCCATTAAATGCGTAAGTTTACATTATCATGCAGAAACACTCTATTGTGTTAACTCTATCTGATACAGAGTGTTTTATTAAATTTATAGCATTAACATAACTTTACTAAAGGGGACGATGGACAGAATCTTTGCAGGTTCAGTGGCAGGTTTGTCCATCTTAGCACTAGATGATTCCAGCAGGAGACGGACACTTGCTTTGTATCTTCTAGCAAGGGTAGCCCAGGTAAATAGATATTGATACCAGTTATTGTATTTCTAACTTTACAACAAAGGCTTCATTTCTTTTATTTTTTGTTAAATGGTTACATGTAATCAACCAGTGTGCATATAACTCTGCTAAATCCAAGAACAAATTTCACCTCTGGGGAAGCCATTGGAGTCACGGTGATTCCTTGCTCTTTTCATTAGCTTGTGCCCAGGTATTTGGACTTGCCTATCCTGTGAGGTTTGGGTGAATGGATGGGAGTGGAATTGGAAATGCAAAAGGTTTCTTCATAGTGTTACATCAATTTTTACCGTATTAAACTAAGAAATTGACTTTTGTAGGTATTATGTTCTGTTACCTCCATTTCTAATCGATCTTTATACTTGCTTTTGGCATGAATATTAAGAACATAAAAATATGTGGTTGAGATATATTCTGAAAGGAGAACAACGTTTATCACTTAACTCTTTTCTTAAACGGCCCGGTTCCATGGCCACTGCATTCCGGTGGCCACGGAAGTCACTACCCCCTTACGGAGTTCCGTTCATAAAATTGATGATTCCTACCCCTCCTAACCCCCCCGGTAAACTCTCCCGCCAAGTCCCGACCCAAACTCATTTCCCCACCTACGTCAATTGCACCTCGTAAGCATACAGTCAATACTTTTGATTTTAAAGTCAATTATGCTTACGATGTGCAATTGACGTAGGTGGAGGGATGAGTTTGGCTCGGGACTTGGCGGGGGATTTACCGGTGGGGTTAGGAAGGGTAGGAATCATCAATTTTATGAACGAAGTTCCGTAAGGGGGCAGTGGCTTCCGTGGCCACTGGAATGCAGTGGTCATGGAACCGGGCCGTTTCTTAAAAAGGAAATGGAAGGATGGTTTTGGGATGAATTTAATTGGGAAGTGGGGCGGATGGAGTATATGATAATCGCTGAATTTCTTGTTTTCTTGACACATGCACAAAATAGATGCCATGATATATTGTTATCTAACTGGTATATACCTATTGCATTTTAAAAGGTTTATCAATTTATACAAAGTAGATTATCTATCTGGTACATACCTATTGCATTTTTAAAATGTTTATCACTTAATGAATGGATCCAGGTTATGTATGCATTTATTATGCACCCTGAAAGCCTTCCAAAATCATATCAAGACTTTATTCAGAAAACTGGCCCAGTTGCAGCACCAGTGTATAAGGCCGTTAAGGATTGTTGCAGAGGCTCACCAGTAGATGTTGGGGCACTGTCTGCTTATTTATCCCAGAGAAGGGTTTCAACCACTGTGAAGTTGGAAGAGTTTCCTTCCATTATTCCATGTTCTCTGATTCACGCTGGCACCAATTCATGTTTGGCACACAATGCTAACGCAACAGCGGCTACTTTTCGGAAGACATTTCCTCTCTATTTCTCTTTGACTTTTGTTCCATTCGTTGTTCTGCACTTGCAAAAGGTAAATCAAAATTTCTTGCTTCTGTCTTCTAAAATGAGTCATACTCAACCATATATCACTCTTTAGTTTCTTTGCTTGGTGTTTCATTGATGGTCATTGACCTTCTGAAGCTTCAGAGAGGTGTAGATTGTAGTGCATGCATGATGCAGATTGATTATAGAGAATTGGTTATGTTCACATGGGTACATTATAGTTCCTTAATACGGAGTATTAATTGATACTGTTGGTCTATAGTATCATAAGAAGACTCTGTCACATGTTATGTGACTTTTGTCGAGTCTTTTATAATTGTGTTGCCTCCATTATGAATCTTCAGAATCATAAGAGAAATGCTAGAGTCACAAACACAAGGATCACAAAACACACAAACTTGCACAAATAGTAAGATTGAGTATTTTGTAACCTTTGTGTTTATTGATTTAGCATTTCCCGTTGTCTATTGGTTACCAGTGCATAGAATTTGCCAATCATCAGGCTAGGGTTCTTTGATTGTGAATGACATGCACACTCTTGTATGATTCTCTTAAATGCTAAGTTTTAGAGGGCGTTAGTCAGTTGCCACCTTCACAGAAGTAGGTTACGAAATTCTTGCAAGGTTTTTCTTCATAGGACAATATAATTAGATATTTGGGAAATTTTTCTAATGTGATTTTAATTTACAAGGAAAATACTTTCTCACATACTATGGAATATGCTTCACACCCTAAACCTTGAGAAGAACTTTCACAGACCCATATTGTAGAAGGAAAGCAATGATGCCTTTTATTTCTAGGTATACAATAACATTACCAAGAAACCCAACATTTGAAATGTAACACATGCCTTTTAATGCGTTCAAATGCATTCATTTTTTAACAATCAGTTGCTTATTGTCTTTGTATTCGATGTGCTAAACAGTTTATGGCTGCTCCTGTTCGCACCTGTTGGTTTGCTCTTACTGGAGCTGTCCGTTCAACAACTTTTTTGTCAGCTTTTGTCGGGCTCTTTCAGGTACTTGGTTTCCCATCTTTGATATTTTCTTGTTTCCGAGACTTGGCTGACCTACTGATCGGTCCTTTCTCATGTGTCAACAAAAAAAGGCAGTCATATGCTTGCATAGAAAGGTTGCAACGAGGGACCACAAGCTTGTGTACTGGGTTGCAGGAGCAGCATCCGGCCTGTCTGTACTGTTAGAGAAGAAAGCAAGACGATCAGAACTTGCCTTATATGTTCTTCCCCGAGCTGGGGAATCATTGTGGTATATTCTTGTGAATCGCCACTTGATCCCCGATTTCAAGAATGCAGAGGTATTGCTTCACCTAACCTTATAGTGGCAAACAAGTTTAATATGACAAGTTTAGTATAAATTTCGAAGAAGTTTTCAAAATGCAAGTTGGGTTCATAACCTTCAGGTGGCATTGTTCTGTGCATGCATGGGAGGGATCATGTACTACCTGGAGCACGAACCAGACACCATGGCGCCATTTCTCAGGGGTCTGATTCGTCGTTTTCTGGCCAGCAAAATTAGCAGCTCTGCCACCTCATTAACCAATAGGAATGCATCTTATACATATCTCCAAGCTCTTGATGTCGTCATGAAGAAACCACCACCAAACCAGAAGAACCAAGATCCCAAAACCTCTCCTAGAGAAAAATATAATCTTGAATCCATACAAGGATTGTGAGCTATATGTTCATATCTCCCCCTCCACACACACATTTCTATGCCAAATTGCCCCAATGTGTCCCGGAACCTTACCCCCTTTCCTTCACGCAAACACACACATACTGTAACATATTTGTGTGAGTTTTTGTGTCCGCGTGAAGGGAAAAATGAGGGGAAGATTTGGGGGCTCTATAGCAGAGCTCCACTTCCATTAACCAATATCATTCCTAATTTTGAATCTCGCAGAAGCAACAACCATCTTTTCATGATTTTTTTTATACAGAGCAAAGGATTAGTCACGGACATACAAATGTGTTGCAGGCAACTTCTCCCCCCCGGATTGTATTTAGCGGAATTTTTCATTAACACGCCGTTTGGTTGAACTATTGCGTGTTTGTATTCAAATACCCATGTTGAACTCTGTGTCGCTCATTTACCTTGTCATTTGCTTCCCAGCAATGTCACTACCTATGTCGTTTTAATATGGCTTTCTTGTTATTATTGCACGAAATTAATTAATCAATTGTATCCACTTGATCCATCAACAGTGATTGTTTGGAGCAGGGATGTGTAAAGTGGAGTCCTTTCTCATACATGCCAAAAATGGATATTACTAATGTGTCACACTAGGATTATAGTTCAAATCTTAAGTGTCAGACTAAGATTATAGTTCGAATTCAAAGTGCCAGACTAAGATTATAGTTCAAATGTATATTCTACGATTGTTTTGGGGGAGTCGTTTTGTTTTTAAAAAAAGTGGAAAACCCAAATACACTTCTAATGCTCTAAAAGATAAAGTAGCGTGCTAGGAAGTGTTGCTCAAAATCTATCTTCTAGTGTAAAGTTCAAACCTTATTTATATCTCTTGCTTATGAACACAAGTACAATGTACTCATGGTTCTCTTTGTTATGCACACATGGTCCTATTTATTAGAGATTTCTACCAATTTGTATTTCATATTTATGTTTTTAAAAAGTACTCCGTAATATGGAAGAAAAACAATTCATAATGCATAGGGTTAATTTTAGAATAAAAATTTCTACCTACCACAAAACTTTAGAACCCCACCGTATTTATAGCATTGAAGTATATACTTTATCAATCTCAAAATAAATAAAGGAGACCCTCTTTTTAGAATTAATAAGTGCTCTAAATTTTTCTCGTTTGAGTAAGTTATAACCATTTGCTTTTAAATATTACAGTGTATATCTAAAACGACCTTATACCGGGAGTGACAAGTCCTTTGAAGGTGTAAATGCACATGAATTGCCTTTAAATAAACTATAGATATTAAGACGTTCACTTCTTTTGACCTTTGATTTCAAAAAATTAGAAGAATTTGACTTTCATCTTCATCCACTGCCACTACTTTTACTACATTTCAATATGTGAGACAGAAACCCAAAGAATCAAAGCTACTTTAGTTCAAAAACTGAGAACCAAGCTGCAATCAACATCTTGAAGGTTCATTTTACCCAAGTACAGTTCACTTATGTGGACAGGGCATAACGGGAGACACTTCCCGTTCAAGCTACAGTGAACCGAGCTCATTCCGGGCACCCCATTTTCATCCAATGGGTTGATCCGTATCCGGTAGACAGTGGTATCATCCCTGTTGCAAAAATGAGCCGAACAGAGAAGCGAAGGCTCATGGGAAGCCAACCTCAAACAGACCATAGTGAGGGCCCCATCCACAGGGTTTGGATCCGACAATGCCTTATCTCCCATTGTCTTCACCTCCCTTTCTGCAGGGAAGTGAACTTCTTCGTCTCCATTGACATTCAAAACCTTGAGATCTTTGGTGAAGTGTCTAATGGTTTCGCGCTTGGTGGACTCGTGCTTCTCTGCCAGTGTCAAAATGCAAGAGAATCTCAGATGGTATGTCA